CATTACTACTACTACTACTACTACTACTACTACTAACGCTATTTCTACTACTGCTATTACGACTACTTTACAACTACTAGTACTGGGTGGACGCGAGGCTGGGTGGACGCCGCGAGGCCAGAGTGCTCGGTGCGAACACGCAGTCGCCCCGCTCCCTCTTCCCTCCGCCTCGGCCTCCCCTCCTCCTTTTGCCTCCTCCTCCTCCTTTAAATTGCAGTGTCGCGTTGCGGAGGCCAGCTGGGCGCCGCGAGGCCGGAGTGCTTGGTGCGTGCACGCAGTCGCCCCCCTCCCTCCTCGCTCCCTTTTCGGCGTCGGCCGCTTCCTCCCTTTCTTCTATGCTTTCCGTTTCTTGTTGTTTTTTAAATGCAACGGCCAAGTGGCACCACGGTGAACGCCGTTGGTGGCCGTGGTGTTGGCGAGGCGCTTCCGAGTTTGTCGTGCTGGCCCGCTTTGGGGGCTCGCCCCTGCACTCGCCCAAGGCACTCCCGTCAGCGCCGTTGTGGCATTTGTTATTTGTTTGCCTCGATAGCGCTCGTATTGGCAGCAGTCGTTGTAGCTACGGGGGTGGGTTTGGGGTGCTTTGGGTTCTGGCAGCCGCCAACTGTTCCGCGACTTGTCGCCCTTAGGGCTTTTATTCCAATTACCACATTTCGAGAGATACCTCTCCTTCGCGCGCCTTGTCTTTGACATAGCGATGTGCAGATTTCTCTTTGGGTCTTGAGGCTTTGGTCGATTGTCTTGTCATGGAACATCTGTGCTTCGGACTCGCTTCTTCCAGTGAACGTGTTTGTGTGTTTTCTTTCTGTTCCCCCTCTTTCCTCCTCCTCCTCCTCCCTCTTCTCTCCCCCTTGTTTTTTCATTCATCTCGCCACCTTCTTGTTCTCCCAGGCCATGGTTCATCGCATGAACTTGCCTATGGCAGATCGGTTCGTGTAGCGTTCTTGGTTATCCAGCGATCGATTGCTTCAAGCCGTAGTGCTAGTCACGCCGTGGTGAGGTCCAGTGCACACTCGCGCCTCCTCGCTCGTTCTGGACAAAAAAACTATTACTACCACCGCCACCACCACCACTACTACCACTATGACGACTATGACTACTACTACTACTACTACTACTACTACTACTACTACTACTACTACTACTACTACTACTTCCACTCCTACTACCACTACTACTACTACTACCACTATTACTATTACTACTACTACTACTACTACTGCTGCTGCTGCTACTACTACTATTACTACTACTATTACTACTACTACTACTACTACTACTACTACTACTACTACTACTTCTACTGGTACTACTACAACGACTACTACGACTACAACTACGATTTCTGGTATTACTATTGTTCTTACTACTATTACGACTACAACAACTATTGGTAGTCCTGTTACGGCTGTCATTACTATTACAACAGCAATTATTATCACTACAACTATCATTTCTGTTACTACAACTTCTACCAGTACAGCTACTACGACTACGGCTATTTTCATTACTCGTAAGATCGCGACGACGACGACGACGACTACTACTACTGCTACTCTTACTGCTAGTCTTATCAGCATTACTACAGTTTTCCTAATTTAATCGCTTCGCTCATTCCGCCGGCCCGTATTGCGCACCGCGGTCGACTGGATGAGAGGTCGTCGGCAGTGCGGAGCTGCAGGGAGCGGGGGCTGTTTTTTACCTAACAGCGAAGACTGATAGGTTTCTAGTGGTCTCAAAAGAGCTCACAGATCACTCCACAGGGGTGTCCGGGCAGGTGTTGGGGAGTTGCCGGGCGGCAGGGTGCCGGGCTCGTTTTTCACCAACAGTCACACACTTCGTGCTCTTCGACTTCCCAGAACTCCATTCCCAGGCCACATTCTGAATACCCGGATGCAACAGTCACACACTTCGTGCTCTTCGAGATCCCAGAACGCCATTCCCGGGCCACATTTAGAATAACCGGATGCAACAGTCACACACTTCGTGCTCTTCGAGTTCCCAGAACTCCATTCCCGGGCCACATTCTGGAGGGCCGGATGCAACAGTCACACACTTCGTGCTCTTCGAGTTCCCAGAATTCCATTCCCGGGCCACATTTTGGATGCCCGGAGCCAACTGTAGGCCACTTCGTGCTCTTCGAGTTCCCAGAACTCCATTCCCGGGCCACATTTCGAATGCCCGGAGCCAACTGTAGGCCACTTCGTGCTCTTCGAGTTCCCAGAACTCCATTCCCGGGCCACATTTTGAATGCCCGTAGCCAACTGTAGGCAACTTCGTGCTCTTCGACTTCCCAGAACTCCCATTCCTGGGCCACATTTTCAGCAGGGGCAAGAGCACGACGAGGAGGAGGACGAGCAAGACCAGGAGGACGAGGACGAGCAGGAGCAGGACGAGGAGCAGGAGGAGCAGGAGAAGAAGGACGAGCAGGAGGAGGAGGAGGACGAGCAGGAGGAGGAGGACGACCAGGAGGAGGAGGACGACCAGGAAGAGGAGGAGGAGGAGGAGGAGGGGAGGGGAGGAGTACCAGGAGGAGGAGGAGGAGGAGGAGGAGGAGGAGGACGAGGAGACGAGGAGGAGGAGGAGGGGGGGAGGAGAGTACCAGGAGGAGGAGAACGAGGACCACCAGGAGGAGGAGGAGGAGGAGGAGGAGGAGGAGGAGGAGAGAACACCAGGAGGAGGAGGACGAGCAAGACGAGGAGGACGAGAACGAGGACGACCAGGAAGAGGAGGAGGAGGAGGAGGAGGAGGAGGACTGAGGAGGAGGAGGAGGAGGAGGAGGAGGAGGAGGAAGAGGAGGAGGAGGAGGAGGAGGAGGAGGAGGAGGAGGAGGAGGAGGACGAGGAGGAGGAGGGGGGGGGAGAGCACCAGGAGGAGGAGAACGAGGACCCCCACCAGGAGGAGGAGGAGGAGGAGGAGGAGAGACGAGGAGAGAGGAGGAGGAGGAGGAGGAGGAGGAGGAGGAGGAGCAGGAGAAAGAGGAGGAGGAGGAGGAGGCAGGCTGAGGCTGAGGCTGTGACTGCGACTGCCGTTGCCGCTGCGACTGTCATCGCGAATGCGACTACGACTGCGAGAACAGCAGAATTCGACAACTGGATTTTCATCTGAATCTTAAGGGGAATGCTTTCAGATATGCTTCTACACATCGCTGTTAGGTTGCTTTGCCGGGATAATTTTGTTGAGTCGTTGCGTTCGGCCTTTTGTGGTGAAGATGCCCCGGTGGAACAGGTTCGTGTCGATTCGTGGCGACCGTCTGTGGGGGTGGCGGGGGAATCGTTGGTTCCACGGGGTTCTAGGTTTTGCTGCCCTGGGGTGTGCCTGGCGCGTTTGTGGGGGCTCGTTTTGGGGCCTGTTGAGGGCCGTTTTGGGGCCTCTTGGGGCCTCTTTTGGGCCTCTTGGGCGCCTCTTGGGGCGTCTTGGGGGCCTCTTGGGGGTCTCTTGGGGCCTCTTTGGGACCTCCTGGGCGGCTTCTGGGGCGGAGGGCTCGATTTTTCAGTTCTCTGTATCCCTCTTGAGCCCCTCTTGGGCCCGTCTTGGGGCCTCTTGGTCCGTCTTGGGCGGCACTTGGGCCGTCTTGGGGGCCCTCTTGGGCCGTTTCGGGGCCGTCTTGGGAGCTTCGTGGGCCGTCTTGGAGCGATCTTGGGCGCCTCTTGGGTCGTCTTGGAGCGTCCGGAAGCCGAAAAAGCCAGAACGCAAAAAACATCGGAAAAACAAATGAAAATCAACGATTTTGGCCTCTTGGGGCCCTCTTCGGAGGCCTCTTGGAAGGCTCTTGGGGCGTCTTGAAGGCCTCTTCGGCTGTCTTGGGGGTCTCTTGGGCCGTCTTGGGGTCATCTTCGGCGCCTTGGAGCGCTCTTTGAACGTCTCGGGGGCCTCTTGAGCAATCTTGGGGGCCTCTTGGGGCACTCTTGGCGCGCTCAGGGCGGCCTGAGAGGCCGCACCCAGAAGGAAAACCATCTCTGAGTTGAACCGGGCGGGACCTTCCCAGGCGGCGGGCGGGGTACTTTTCGCCGGGGGACCCCCAGGGGCCGCCCCGCGCGCGCGAACTAGTACAATACAATTGTTAACCAGTTACCGGAGATCTTAGCACGCCTCTGGCCCGTTGGGCCGGCGAATTTGTTTACGAATACGTTTATTATTTGTGCGATTATTTATACGACTACTACTACTACTGCTACTACAACTACCATGACTACTACTACCACTACTACTACAACTACTACTACTACTACTACGACTACTACTACTACTGCTACTAGTATTAGAATTACTACTAAAATTACTACTACTACTACTATTACTACTACAACTACTACTACGACTACTGCTACTACTAATTCTACTACTACTACTACTACTACTACTACTACTGCTGGTGCTGCTACTACTACTTCTGCTACTACTACTACTACTACTACTACGATCTCGGCAACTACTACTACTACTACGGCTATTCTTACTACTACTACCACTACGCATGCTACTACGACTACTATTACTAGTATTACTACTACTGCGACTACTACGACTGCTATGTCGACGATTACTACTAGTACTACTACTGCTGCTACTACTACTACTGCGATTACTACTACCACTACAACTACTACCACTATCACTACCACTACTACTACTACTACTACTACTACTACTACTACTACTACTTCTACTACTACTACTACTACTACTACTACTACTACTGCTACTACTAGTGATGCTACGACTACGACGACGACGGTTACTACTACTGCGGCTATTACGGTCACGACTAGTAATTCACATGTTTCTCATAACAAACATTTGCCTATTACCACATCTGGTAGCGCGACTGCTTTCAGGAAGCCTGCATTTCTACCTTCCCCGCTGCTCCGACAGTCCGCCATCCCACTCCATGGCGTAAGTTCCTTCTCAATCAGAACTGCGAGATATAATATCTCATCCAGGACGGCCCTCTTTACAACCAACACGCGTCAGGCAGCCAAGTGGCAGAGGGAAAGGGGAAGGGGAACAGCCACATGTCTCACCCGCCTGTTCACCCCTGGCAAGCGGAGGCCTGTTGGCGGACTAGACGCTGATGGATCGGCGCGCGTTTGGCCGCTTCTCATCCACGGTCGCGAATGCGTGTTGCTTCCTTGTTCCCCGTCTTTGCGCGGCCGGGTGTTCGCTGCAGATGGCAAGTGCCACGTTGAGGAGGCGGAGCCCTGCAATGGTGAGAACGACAAGG